TTGACACGTTTTACCATGGTGGCTAGACGAGCTTGCTCCAGCTTCACAAGAGTTCACAAGTTTCACCAGAGTGAGACTTGTAAACCGGAAGTAGTGAAGCAATGAAAGTGCAGAATGCCCCCTCGTCGCCGAACTGCTCCAGAGTTGCTTGCCTGGCACCTTTCGACGTTCTTCGACGGGAAGTTAACTTCGAGGCATCCGAGGCACGGTATCGCGCGCGAATCGGGAGTTACAGGGCTTCTGTCAACAGGATATCCTCCCGCCGCGATGGTTACGAAGTAATTTCTCGTGCAGAATAGAAAAGGAAGGAATGAAAAGAAGGAGGAACAAAAAAGAAATGAGGACGCAGGTTTAGCGGTGGAGGGGGGGAAAGATATCCTAGACCCAAACCCAGCAAGTTGACTTGACCCAGCACTTTGGGTAACACTAAGAGGTAGTGGTAGCCTACAGTCCTGTTGGCTGCGGATGCTGGGGCGTCTCACGAAGTTCGGTTTGGCGCGACGCGGAATGAGCGGTACAAGGCGTACGCTGCCATGACCTAAATGATTTAACGCCGAAGTGTCATGTCGAGTCAACTAGCTAGAAATCTTGGTTTGCGCGCGATAGTGCGCCATGGGTGTCCTAAACCACTGATCAAATCATTGCTGACAACAGTAGGGATCACACTGCTGTTCAAATACAATTTTCGTGCGTAGCTCTCGATCAACTATCCAGCCAGAGCACAGCTGTGGACTTTCGGGACAGCAAATGGCCTTTCAGGGCAGAAATCTGGCCAAAAATACAAGGGATACGTTAGATGCTTGTTCTATCGCAACTGGGCTTTCACGCTCCAAAGAACGCGAAACCGCTGAAGCGTCAGCCAATAAAGGTATATAACAATTCCGTGGGAAAAGTTCTCAAAAAAATAACATTAAAGAAAATAATGGCACTCAGGATGCCTGTCAACAGCAACGCTTTTCTCCTCATCCCTTTTTTCCTGTATCTTTTCCTCCCTACCTTCTCTTTCCCTCTTCCCCCTCCTTGCTTTCCTCCTGCTGCTTCCAAGGGCTGTCGCTCTTCCAGCAAACGTTTCCTACTGGATCCCATGACATTTTCTAATTAGTCACGACGACAACCACGTTCACCTTATTTATTTGTCCAGAAAACACGCTCGACAGCCGTGGTCGTTTATTTTCCCCGGGGCCAATGCTGCTACTGCTGCTCCTCGAAGAGCTCTTGCCTTTCGTGGCAAAACAACCCAACCACGTGAATCGCTCGCTCACGAGGACTGACGTCGCGACCACAAAGTTCGCTCTCTGTCTCTGCCCCTCGCAACAACAACGAACGCTGTTGGCACAGGTTAACCTGCCAACAGCCGGCCAAATTGCTATCGAGCCAGCGGCGGCATTGAGCCAACACCATTTCCTAGTAAACAGTAGCCCAGAATAAGATTACCACGACATCTGAACGGGTTGCGTGCTTATGGAAGTCTAGACGGATCTTCGAATTAGCCCATGCATCACTAATTCTCCGATGAGAACGAGACGACAGCGCCAGAAAACAGCTAGGCGGGGTAAAGTGAAGTAATATGACGAGCGCTTTGAAAATTACTCAGCGCTAAAGCTTCTTTTATTATGCACAATATTATGCACGGTTCTGCGGTGAGGGGGGGGCATTTAGCACTGCCGCCACTTCACTAGTGCCAGTTTACAAGTCTCACTCTAGTGAAACCTGCAAACTCTTGTGAAGCTGGAGCAGGCTCGAGAAAGGGTACAGCATCGTTGCGTGAAACAGGGGGTCACACTTTTTCTCTGCGGAGGGGAGGGGGGTCGTATTTGGTCGTTGGGAGAGGGGAGGGGGTCGTCTGCTTTTGAGAGAAATTTGTCGCGTTGGTTTTACGGTTGTTGACTTTTAGTGATTTTTTCCTTTTTCATGTGTACTGTATACTCCCTCCCCCGCTCAACGGAAAACTTTGGGTGAAATACTGACTGGAAAATGAGGAAGTTGGTAGGTAGGGTGTCGGGGAGGGGGGGGGGTCGTATCTACACCACTACCTCACACATCACGATTCTGTACCCTGCGTCGAGAACCATGGCAAAATCTGTCAACTCAGGTAAGCTCACGAAATGACTCGACACGTCGATGGGCAGTAGCAAAAGTGCCAAATGCCCCCCTTCCCCCTCCCGCCCGTAACTGGACTGCCCCCAATATTCCAACGTACTTTTCCAGGAAAAGTACTGAGGACAACGGGCTCAGCCAACGTAACTAAAAAGAGCAAGAGTTCATTCCACGGACACGAAAATTGCTTGCCCTGAAGGGGTATGCGGAATGTACTTTCTCACGGCTCGCTCTGCGTTCCACTTTGGAACAAGCACACAAAGAACAAACAACGAAATCACCAGAATGAAAACTATAATCACATTCTCACACGCCAATACCGTCCGTCGACGTCTTGTCTTCACATACAAATATAAAAGCATTCATTCAAGTACCGTACCTGTTCTTTGATGCGTTGCATTGCAGAATTCGGCATACGACGCCTCCAGCCTTTCGCTCCATTCTGCTCATAGTAGTAACCGTCTGACGCTACATCGTAGTACCAGTAATCATCCCCACCACTCAATACACGCTGACGTTCTCCAGCAAATAGATCCTCTAGTGCTGCTGCTGCAAAACATAGCCATCTGATCTCTGGTATAAAACCTTTCGGGCCGTTTGGCTTGGGGAGAGGAAGAGGGAGGGGCATTTCGCCCTTTTGCTCTTCCCACTGACGTGTCAAGCCATCAAGTGGAAACCTGTGAACAGGGCACGTCGTATGTTGAGGAATCCCCAGCGGAGGTATCGTATTTGGTCACCGGACGGAGGGGGGGGGGGAGGCGTATCTACTCTGTAAAAACTTTTTTAGATAGTTGATTTTCGCTGTTTCAGGGCGCTATCCACATCGCTGGGGTATTCCATTGTGAGAGGGGGGGGGTCGTATTTGCTCCCTGAGAGAGAAGGGGTGTTGACCTTTGACAGAAATTTTCCGCGTCGCGAAAAACTTTTTTTCCGGATTGACTTTTCGAGCTACTACTATTCAACTACTATTCTCGATAGTTGAAATTAGCAGTTTGTTAACAACGAGCCCCCCCCCCCGTGCCGCTCCACAGCGAAACTGTGGGGAAAATCTGCAAATTGCTTGGGAATTTCGGTGAAAATGTGGGAGGAAAGCTGGGAAAAATTGGCAAGATAGTGAGGGAGTAGGGGAGAGAGGTGGTATCAGATGAGGAAATTTGGCAAGAGGGTGGTCGTATTTCCCGCAAGTTTTCCTCAGTGGCAGGATGCGCCCTGTTCACAAGAGTTCACAGGTTTCACCAGAGTAGGGCTTTTAAAGCGAGACTAGTGAAGCAGCGAAGGTGCAAAATGCCCCACCCCTGTCGCCGAACTGCACCAAATTTTTTTAGAAAATAATCACCACAAGTTCAAAAAGAGCATACCATTACCATTAACGTCGACGTCAGCCAGGTCAAGTTGTGCAGCTCCTTCGTTCTTCTTGGCACGACGTAGCGCCCGACGTCGTTTCTTGTCTTCAGATTTGCCACCGGATTGCGGCGAGTTTTTGCCATCAGTCTTCATGGAACCGTTGGCCGGCGCTGAAATAGGGAATGACTTGATTACTTGGCGATGACCGAACAACATTGGATCGTTCCTTGTCGCTGTTACATACGATCAATAAGGAAAGCTGACAAGAAGGACGGGACGGCGGCGGCGCGGTGGTGGCGACGACGACGACAACGCGCCCGAGAGTCGACGATCTCAATTGTACTGGTTTCACCGCGCAATCGTCTTTACTGCTGGGATGGCGATGCAAAGGTGATTACTTAACGATGGGAAGGGAGGAGGAAGAGGAGGAGGGGGGGGGGGTAGTAAGTCGTAGTGTCATGGAGGGGTGCTAGTTTGATTGAGAACCGACAAGAGGCGGTCTTGTGACAACGGAACCGTACACAAGGAGATCAGTTGCGTGCATGTGTGTGTGTGCCTGAGAGCGTATGTGCTTTTGTGCAAACGTTCTCGTGGCAAAGGGGTATGTGAAACCAGTAAAAAACCCTCACTTCGTTCTCACACACACACTACCTTTCGTACACAGTTGCACGTGTTTCAAGACATTTGCAACCGGGCACGTCGTACTTTGGGGACCTCCAGCGAGGTAAGCGGTCATATTTGGTCGCTGGGCGGAGCAGGTCATATTTCGCCTTCAACAAAGAGCTGCTGACCTTCTCAGTTTTTCCCAGATTTTTCCTGCTTTACGTCAGGATATGTCATGCTGAGAACGTGACTAGCTTTCCCGTGCATTTCCCTAATCAAATCCCATCATCGATTGCTCTGTCACTGCAATGAAGTCGACAGTAACAATCAAAAATGCATGACCAATTGATAAGATTGTTTGGGGCACTGCAGGGACACATCCTGATATTTGTCCAAATTTAGAAGGGGAAAGATCAAAGAATTACAGCGGTTATTCTTTGATGTCGTAACTTGAGCATAAAATCTGCCATTCTAACTATGAATATGGAAGAAGCGCTACTGCAGGCTTCTGACGCATTCCTGGCCCTTTGGAGTATTCCGGCGCACTCCGGCGGCAGGAA